AGTGTTTGGTACATCAAATGTAAACTAAAATTTAAAACTAACAGTGATCAAATTCATATTTATCATACAGTGCTTTTAAGAATAAAAAAACTCAAGGTGAACTTTTATTTGATTTAACTAAAGAGAACGTATGTTTTTCTTAAAGATGATTTTATATAAATTACTTTTAGAGTAAACTATGAAAAGGGCACATCAAAATTTGAAATTAAAAGTTATATTAAAGGTGCAATACTAAGTTATCTTTGCAGCAGTTTGAAACGGAGATAAAGGTTATTTTCAATTTCACTTAATACCCTTTCGAAAGACCTTGATCTAAACCATTGTGCTCACCAAATAGAACACCGAACCACCTTCAGTCATCCGTAGATGGTCGACCATACAATGTACAACTTGAAACCTGTTCCTGGTGCATTAGACACCACATTACAGTGATTTGTTTGGAGTCTCTAGCTTTAGGACATATCATAGCCCCATATGGGAATTAATATTGTTTGCCCATGCTGGTTACATAATTCCCCAAGAACCTTGGGGACCGTCCATAATTTATGGCTAGGGGTGGGGTGGTGTGATGATGGTTTTAATTGAGAAGCATGTACAATGTGAATGACCCCTTCTCCCCACCCCCCGAAATTTATGTACAAAGTAAGTGACACCCCCCTGCATGTCATGTACAAAAATCAATACACACACACACACACACACACCCCCCCCCCGTGATTTTATAACCATGTTTTTTAATAATTCTACATTCAAAATTGCTGACCTCCCCACCAACCCCCAGTACATGTGAATAAAATTGCTGACCCCTCTACCTCCCCAGAACAAGAAGGGTGACCCCCTTAAAATCATCAACCCCCACCCCGCCATAAATTATGAACGGTCCCTTATATCTGTAGCTGGTCGTACTAAATGGTATCGGGTTGACATGGGTCGTTGTTCCTGTTTTAATAAACTGGTATGACACGTTCTGGTGTAGTACAGCTGGAGTGATGATGACTTCAAACGTGGCAACAGAAGCCATGAGCATGATATAGATATTTTACCACTGCTTCAAAAAATATTGTTCAGTGATTTCAGCCGTGTTTAGCGTTGGTGTCATTTTGTTTATGAAATAAGATATTATCTATCCATATCAAACTGACTTTTACTCTAATAAAACGTAAAGCACTAATTGCAACAACACATTGACTCAGACTGAAATTAACAATTTTAAGAACGGCACTGAATTGGAATGGCAATGTCCAGGCAGTCACTTCTACGTTTACATTTTTTAAATGGTGATTTTAGTATATATCGACAACCAATATATATATAAATATATATATATATATCAATGTAAACAATGCTTTATATTCAGTGATATTTGCTCATACTAAGTTTGGTCAGAATCGTTGTTTATTTATTGAAGCTCATTTTCAACATCTACATTAGAAAGCTTTCATGGGTGTGTAGACACAACGCTCCATGGAGAGAAACACTACAAGAAACCAGTGAAAAAATTACGATGACTGACAGGTAGATGTAAATTACAAAATGACTGACCTGGACACCTCACCTCTATTTATTCCGTTTTACAAATTGTTTTGATTATTGACGCAACAATTAGAACAGAAAGCTGTAGCTTTAATAGCATTTCTATTTACCATGTGTGTTTGTGAACATGTGGTATCAAAATTGAATTTTTAAGAAACCATATTTCCTTCTTTTTGTTTCAAAATTAGAACGGTTTCAGGGAATACTACTATTTGCAAAATGAATCATAATACCTACCTTGCTTGAAGAAACGGAATACGTGTGTATTACATTGATCAATTCGGATTCTTCTCACACAAATTTTGAAATCCCCCTGATATGTATGTGTGAATGTCAACGGGGGAGATCCCTACTCTGATGTATATTAGTTCACCTGGTTAAGTTTCACATTCAAGTTCACAATATTCGTATCTGTCATGGACAAAAAGAAAAATATCACAAGCAGACGATAACGATTTTGATGACGTTATCGCTGTTGATTGGCTAACAGTGGAAAGAATACGATTAAACTAACAACTGCTAAAATAAGTCCTTAAGTTACTGACTGAACATTTGTCAAAATCCAGGCCAAACATATATTTATTATTTAAAATGCAATACATATATGGACTATTACTCAAAATTATTTTTATTTCTTCAAAATATCATAATACTTAGGTATCCAATGTATTCTGTTCATATAATAGTTCAGTAGTTCAGAACGGTCTTACCCTAAGTACTTTTTCAAAATACACGAAAAACGTGCTGTATGAGAACAATATCGGACGCTTCACTTGCAACATGTACTGAGATATGAATTACCTCCCTTCCATTAATGTTCGGAAGCCGTCTTAAGGTTAGTGTAATTTTTGAAACTGCATGATATTTTTCCTCACATAAAACAGAACCATAACTCTAGGAAATAACATTTATTAATTCCAAGACTGTACTGAAGCAGTATTTTTGCCTGAACAGGGTTCATGTATGTGAATGCTATATGTATTTTAGCTTGGGAACGTCGCATCTATTGCTATGAACAACTTGTCGATCCATAAACATTGTTCCTCTTCAAAGATATTAGGACGTTTTTAAGAGGTGTCAACAACAAAAATTTCATTTTCCAGGAAACCATTTTCATGGTGATACTTCGGCCAATCTAATTTTCACAGGATATGTAGAGAAAAAAACACTACAAACAATAAAACATTCTTGTACATCTCAGGAGAACAGGGTGGGAGGCATAGGCGCCCGGCTCTGATATATTTATAAGTATGACCTTGCCTATTATATAGGTCATACCTATAAATATATTAGAGCCGGGCGCCTATGCCTCCCACCCTGTTCTCCTGAGATGTACAAGAATGTTTTATTGTTTATAGTGCGGCTCTGATATATTTATAAGTATGACATATATATATATGATATAAGATCTGATATCTTATATATATAGGTCATACTTATAAATATATCAGAGCCGGGTGCCTATGCCTCCCACCCTGTTCTCCTGAGATGTACAAGAATGTTTTATTGTTTGTAGTGCAGCTCTGATATATTTATAAGTATGACCTTTATATATAAGATGTAAGATCTTATATATATAGGTCATACTTATAAACATATCAGAGCCGGGCGCCTATGGTGGGAGGATATTACCAATGTTTCACTGGCCAAGAAACCAGGTCAGTTTATATTCTACTCAACAGAAGTTAAGGACCATCCACTTCTTTCATGTTACTGTAGTTAATCTGTCATGGTATGAGTAGTTAATCGGTTTGTATAGTCACCCATCCTTACAGCTTGTCCACCCTGTGGTCAACCATGTACCTACAGTATATTGCCTGTATAATTAAGAGCGAAGAGGTTTACTATCCTCCTGGGTGGTCACTGCTTCAAATCAGACAATGTCTTTCTTTACAGGAAGGATATTAGAAAAGCTATCAACCCTTGCTTCAAATCAACAGAATTTGTTTGAGTTTTTTTTGTGCTGTGACTAAATTCCCCATTAAGGTGGTAATGAGAGAGTGAGTGAGTTTAGTTTTACTCAGCAATATTCCAGCTATATGTCAGCGGTCTGCAAATAATCAAGTCTGGACCAGACAATCCAGTGATCAACAGCATGAGCATCAACCTGCACAATTGGGAACCGATGACATGTGTCATCCAAGCCACCAAGCCTGACCACCCGATCCGTTAGTCACGTCTTACAACAAGCATGGGTTACTGAAGGTTCATTCTAACCCGGACTTTCACGGGTTGTTAATGGAGAGAGATATGTGTACTGATAATACTTCAGGTGTTGTCATAAGCAGGTCATGATGGGATATTTTCTTTGAGGTAAAACTTCTAAAACTTGCAGCAAAAACATAGATTCATCATTTGTAGCTAACTATTAACACAAATTGTCCGTAACAACTGCTCAGCATAATTTAAACTTTACTCTTATTTCATAACCTTATTTGGTATTGCAAAATTATTAGAGCACGCTGTCTCCATTCACAAAGAGGTGGCATTGCTTTTCAACTGACAGATTCAACTTGACAGTGTGTCTGCTATTCAAGAGGGTGTTTTTTAACTAACCAATGAAGGCATCAAATTTGACTGTATCTGGGCAACTGAAATGTTGTATTTGTGTTAGGATAATCAAGAAAAGTGTTTAACCAAGTTAAATCAAACTTCAACTGGGACATCAAGCTGGATTGAGCTCAGTTCACCTATAGCACAAAATAACATTTCCCCTCCTCTTTGGGGTTTAAAGCATAACTACCCCTGTAATTCGGTTCTACCCCTAAAGTGTGACAAGACAAAGAGGTACAGTTCATAGTCAGATAACTAGTGGTACTACTTAGGGCTGGGATGATTCACCAATACATCATGATACATTTAAGTTTGATACAGCTATCGTATCGTCGACTGGTGTATCGATACAAAATGATACACAACTTTTTTTCAAAACAGTATTATCTCAAACATGTTTTAAATTTACTTATTTAGTGAAACATATGCAAGCATGATAGAGTTACTTGTTTGTTTAGTACAATCGTGTTATTGTTATACACAAATACCTTGAAATATATCATTTTAAATCTTAATACTGTGTCATTCTTTTAAGGTGTATGTATCGTGATACATATCGTATCGCAGGTAAAATATTGCGATACGTATCGTATTGTGACATAGTGTATTGTCCCAGCCCTAGTACTACTACTGTGAAGACAAATAAGAACAGTAAAATGACAGACCAATGCCTGTAAGTGGGCCAGATTGGAATCCAAATACACAATCCTAGCTCATTTAGGATACACAACTTTACAAACTTTGTTGTAGTGTCTTTGACCACTGATCTATGTGTCTGCTACAATGTTCTGTTTCATGGCCTCTGCGTTTTTTCAATTAGTCTTCTGGTGTTCTTGATGCGTCCATGTATTCTTCAACTGCATGCTTTTAGTCCTTTGTGATGTATGATGACAATATAATAACAAACAATCACCTACATTGAAAAATTTATTATTTTTTACATGTAAATCATTTTATTTACAAATTCAACAATTCTTTCACTGCATTTCAAAAATGTACTACACGCAGCATAAACCCCAAAACAAGATATCAGACATACCTGTAAGCACATATGTAACAATGCTAGAGTTTTGTCTTTTTACATGTAGATAGTACTCATGTTTCATAAGCTATCAAAAACAGACTTAAAAACCCAATAAGTATTCATTCAACTATTTCTCTTAACTACACATGCACATGTAATATTATCAATCTGAAAGTCAGATAAATTTCTTTTCAACAAATTTTTTCAAAAAAGCTCACATTTTGGCAAACTTAAGCTTCAAGATATTTAAAATGGAAACTGCAGTTTTTCAGGCATTCTTAAAGAAAACTTTGGATCCGAACACTGAATGAAATGCTATGGTTTATTGAAAGGGTTATTGCTAAAATAAATCAATACATCAAGCCTATCATTTGTCAGCAAATAAACAACAAATAACAAATTAATTTAATAAATGAACCTGGCAAGGAGTATCTTATCACAACTAATTTCAAACTGTGAACTGCATATGATCATTTTCCATTCAGTATGAAGTTTGCATGTTTTTCATTTTGAGCAATGACAAACATTTTGGACTTTGGACAAAAACTTGGTTACTACATACTAAATCTAGGAATTTAATAAGATTAAATATACCAGAATCTGAATGTTTAATATCCAATACAAATGATTACCCACTATTTAAACAAAACAATAAATAAAATTAATATGGTTTAGTATGGCAAATAAAATAATTCATATGATAAGTCAAAAATGGGAAAAACATATTAATCTGCCCTAATATTGATATGAAATCAGTATGTGCTAATGAGATGACTGTTATAAGGATTTGATGCAATGAAAATATATAAATATCACTCAGGTAAGATGACACAATGGTCACCAGAATATAGAATAGTTCTGCTGACTGAAATTACCTTCTACCTCAATGTGTCCACTTTGATATGTTAACACTACAAGCATCATAAGCAAAATTGTCAAGGAAATTTATCCGAGAGTCAGTACATTTGACATTAGCGAAATCCTTAAATTAATGAATGCGTGAGTGAGTTTTAGTTTTAAGCCACTTTTAGCATTGTTCCAGCAATATGGCAGGGAACACCAGAAATGGACTTCATACATTGTACCCATCATTAAATTAGTTCAACATTTGAAATATCTGATTAATTAAATGTCCCTTACAGATTCACTACAATGTTACTACATTACCAGTACTTCTTAAAAACTTAAAAAAGTACTGTTTCAGTATTTACTTCCCTTTAAGTTTCAGTTGAGCTGCAATGACATTAAACCAAGTCCTTACAAAACATATGAGTATGTGTTACACAGACACACAGATGTACTATAATAATATAATGAGCAACCGATGGGCTAACAGACCTGTCATTTTCAAAACTCAACAGTACTTTCAACAATTGTCAACAGTTATCACATGGAAGTCTCATGTGAGGCATACTTTCTTAATTGGCCGCTTTCATGACCCTAATGAATAATTCACAAAATGCTAAAAACAAACTTCAACATGAATTTCTTGATTGGATTCTTTGGAAACCTGCTACATCCTCAAACCAAAATGATGAAACCATCTGTCAACCTACTGACATGTTCAAGTAATAATTTCCTGCTGTAAGAAACACAAAGGTTCGCTGACAACATCAGCAATCCTTTGATTGGTGTAAGGCAGTGTAGCTTCTACATTAAGTGTGTACTGCATGCACCTGAAAGCACAACTAGGCAAATCCTTTTTAAGACAAATGCATCCAGAGATTGCATACACTCTGCAGGCTTTAGCATTTGTAATGACTAACCTTCTGTTTATTTATCATAATATGCGTATCTTTCCTTCCAGAATATGAGAAAAACATTCAGACACAATTATTACTATTAGCTTGAAAATTGTATTAAGTAAACTTAATGTCTTACTTGCTTCATCAAGAGTAATGCTTAAAATCAAATGTAAATATTTTAGTAGAAGGAATCAGATGGGTGCAATAGTAAAGAAACATGCTTAGGTTGTTCTCTGAAGCAGGTCAGGTCTCTTCTATTATCTATTTTAGATACTATTTATTTTGCAAAAGATTTAACAATTTTTACAGTAACACAGACTCCACTGAAATTTCATTTAATTCCAAATTTACTTGTCGGTCATATGCAGCAGGCAGGCCTGTTTGGAATGAGTGAGTGAGCAAGGGTGGATTTTGGATGTTTTTGCAATGATCCAGGCATCACACATCACAGGATACCAAGAAATCTGGGAATCAAACCCAAGCTATCTGTATGAACCACTTGCTCACCCTGCCACCCAAGGCCTACCAGCAAGTCCTCTGGTAGTTTGACAACAGCTTTCTACATCAAACAGCACTAAATGGATATGTGACATACCCAAATTCTGTGTCTGAAGGAATACTGTTTGCTTGCTGGTTGCAACATCTTCAGTTACTATATATAATGCTTACTCTGACTGGCTCACAGTTCATCCTCAAACTGCTGCAACAGATGCATAAAAGATTCATGACTGTGATCAAAATGATAATAAAGATTAACCAATGTGCCATGTGAATACAGTCAACTGACATTTCTACTAGAGACCTACCTATTAAAATTTGTTCATATAAGGCCATATTAAAAAAATGTTGTTGTTCCCGATTACAGCTCTTTAAAATTTAGAGTAGGTAGGAATATATTTTTTTACATTTATTTTAGAAGTAAAGTACAAACTAATAACACATTTATCAATGTGTAATTGTTTACTTAATCAAGCTTGCTGACATCATGTCGACTTTCTCTATCAGAATGACCGATGTCCATCGGTGCCGGGGAAAAAACAATGGTATCTGAATGCTTATTTTATTTACACCACTTAAAAAATCTAGGGTCAGCACCAGAATTCAAGGGTCGGTCGGGTAATCGGAACCACAACTTTATTTTTTAGGCCTAATGTACTTTTGAAACATCATATCATCCCTACAATAGCATTATGTCTAACGTTTCACGACATTGTATCTATGAGCCAAAAAAGAAAGATATGAAAAAATACATGAACACTGCTATATTCTTTGAAGTTTATTCATTTAGTAAAGTCTAATATCAAGGAGATATTGTTTGGCTTTCTGACAATTCAAACTGCATAAAATATAACAACAAACATCAAGTTTGACATGAGCAGTTGAATTATGAGTTGTTTCATTACTGGCTTGTACATGCTCAAGATGAATTATGTTTCAGAGCCTGTGTTACTTTGTGTAGTCTGCACGGTGCAAGGGAATAATAATTTGGTTTACTTTGATATTATCATTTGGGTGATTTTGAGATAATCTTGAGATAACCACAATAAAACATTGCAATTTAACTACAATTCATTATAACGCAGAAACTTTGCTTTGGCAAAACATATGTCTGATGCATTCCCCTATTTATTCTTGTACCATGTTCTCCATGTTTTTCAGCTGAACAATTGACTTGCCTTCACATGTGTTTGTGATGGGTTCCATCCTTGGGACAGGATGTGCTTATCTTTTGTAGACACCTGAATTATCCCTATATGAGAGTAATTTATGGAAAACATGCTAAGAATATAGTTAGGAACTTGCAGTGGGTTCTGCTTTATGCAAAGATTTCTAATGATTAGTGAAAGTTACTTTGTTGCTTTTTTAAATGAACTGGCAAATTTGGATTTTCAGTTAGTATGACACTTTTCTTTTTGCTCCAAATAATACTCAAATACCTAAGAAGCTATGCTAAAGAACTGTTTGCGCATCCTTTATTTTACATGTTGAATAAGTTGCAAAAGAATAGTAACACAAATCTAGATTAGAACACACACAAAAGTGAATAAAAGAAATATTTGGTTCATGCTTACATATTTGTATAGATAGATGTTCTTGATTAACAAGTTTGGTCAATTGTTGAAAGGTAAACAAAATTTCACAATCTGTAACAGATATGCAAACAATATGAGTACACAAGCATAAACAATGGACAATTCTAATAAAATGATTAATATGCTAAAAACTTTATAAAATGACTTCCCCTTGATAAAATCTCACATTCACATGTTGACAGGTATTATATCTACATCAAGCAACTTGCATAATTCAGGATGTTATTAAGGTCTCACTATAACAAACATGGTATGTTTCCACATCAGTATGGCACTATTGTACAACTATCACCTGCCAAATGACACATACGCTTTGGTTCTCAAGGACATTGTGCATGTTTGTTCATTTAAGTTCAGGCCAGACTAAGTTTATTATTAAACAAACAGAATGTATTCAATATTTTGGCCAGGTGGCCAATAGTAGTTGTAGTAGAATATTCTAAATGTATCATGACAGTAATAAAACATGAATTTATCCTTACGTATTACAAACACCTGATAAATAACAGCTTTTCTATTACAGTATTTAGAAGAGTTTACTTTTGCAGTGAGATATTTTGATCAAAAGGTAGTTTGTTTTTATCAAACATGACAGCCTGCAAACTTTCTGAAAATGAATGTCCAGAGAGTAAAATGTGTTGTTTTATTGAAACTATGCTTTTCTAAATAACCTTTCTGGTGTATATTTTAACAAACTATCTGGATGATTCCTTTTTTAATAAAGATATTTATATTTTTGCTTGTTCTTCAGTGTTCCACTTTGTTTCAGATCTAATGTGTGTTTGATAAGTTGTAAAACAAGCTCTAACATTGATCTGGCATAAAAATGTATGTATACAAACTGAATGTATCACAATTTAAAGCTAAGGCCTTGCAGTGTTTGGTTCTTTTTGGGCTTAGTTTACGGATTGAAAAGTCAGAAAAAACAATCAGAACACTCAGGGCTTTTTGACTACCATTTGCTAAGATTGCTTTGATAATGAAATCCCAATAAGATACTGCTATCAGATATTAGATTTATTAACCCAGACCAGGATTTCCTATTTTCATATTACCCACATATCCAAGTAAAAAATCATGGGCTTTTTTTCACCTGCCTTATCAAATCCGTAAACCCACCATAAAGGAAAAAAATGTCTGGCCTGTTTAATAAGTTCAATAGTATTTTGCGTACTATTTCTAAGAATTTAGGGGAAGGGTAGAACATACCTAAGAAAAAATGTTTTTCTGCTAGAACTTGCTTCTAAAACTGGGAAAAGAACTCAGTGTTACTTCATCGCCTTCTAATGCAAAAGACGTGAAGATTTGTTTGCTAAATTCTTCAATATCATTTCTGGATACATATCACTATATGTTATCTGCCTAGTTTGCTCTTAAAAATAATTTAGACATACATTCAGTAGATTAAACCAATAAATATGAAATATGAAAGTCCATAAAGCACCACTTGTTTCAAAAACAAGGCATTTCGTGATAGTAAGAGGTTATCAGCCGTGATATGTTTTTGGACTGTGTCACAGATCAAGGTCACACTGTGTCAAAGGTCACCATGTCACATGTCATGTGTGACAAAGGTCACACAGATCAATCATTAAAGGTCATATACATACAGTAATGGCCACTTGCCAGTTGGCAGAATCAATTCACCAACTGTAGATCACAGAATCTGTTTTTCCATGAAAGAGCAGTCCCTGTGGGCAATGCATTTCATTTGTCCCATTGCCGTCAGAAACACAATCCTTCCAGTCAGTTTTGTGACTAAAATCAGAAGGTGCAACAGGGGTGCCATCTTCTTGGTTTCAAACTGAACAAAATCACTGACTAGCCAAAAAACAAGAAGGGTCTCCATGAATCTGTGAACACATTTGTTTCTAAGCTTGTAGTTGTAGGTTACAAAACCTAGAAATTAGCTGTTGATGTCCTATCATCACTGTTGTGACTTGCTCGTGCCCATTTCACAACCAAAGGAAACAAGCATCATCACATGTAGATTTCAATCTGGCTCACAAACAAGGTAATCCATGTTCCAGGAAGATGTGTACTGTCGTCTGTGTTGAAGGTGTACTGATGTAGTTGCCATATATCCATCATCTTTCCACCTATCTGAATTCCACGACTGTCTGGTTTCCAGGCGTTGCACAGTATGGAAATTGCATAAGGATGATTCATCATTCATACATTCTTGTCATTTTCTCTCTTGTGGCTTTTAACCGATGTCACACTAAAACTGTTCTTCGGAATATCATATATACTTCAGTTGTTACTCTATGGCACTCATATATGCTTGTTGTATATGGCCCACTGTATTGGTGCCAACATTGATAATGATATGAACGATGAAGTATTCTTGATGTGTGCTTTACATGGGGTCACATGATAAATGCTAGGGTCAAGGTCACATAACGAAAACAAGATGGCCACCCCTGGTTGTCTTGATCATACATTTGTTTCTCTGTTGCAGTTGTGTATGTCATTTAAAAGGTGGTTATTGTATAAAAGTGTCTGTTTTTTCTCATCTTCTGTTATTGACTCATCTCCTTCATCAGGGCTATCATTCTGAAAAAAGGTTAAAATCAAGTTTGAAATTGTTCACATTTAGCCACTTTTCCAATTTCGCTGCATACAATTAGGTTGTATAATTTATTAATATTAGGGTGCACAATTGCGTAGATTACTGTTCACGATGTTGATCACATGTCTGGTTCTGACTCAATTTACGGACTGCTGTCATACAGCTGGAATGCTGCTGTGTGGGACAAATGGACATCACCTTAAGTGCTTTGAAATATTAAACATTTTTAATGAACATGCCAAAACAGGTGAATATTTCACAAGTATCATTATAAAGAGATAAAACCAAGTAGCCACTGAAACTGTGTCAAACACACATCTTAAATGCAGATAGATAGGAAATACCTGAGACATTATAAATATTACTGAAAGTGTACATACTAGAACAAATATTCAGCTCATGAACAACTAACAACCACAAACAACCCGTGATAGCAGTTCCATTAACATGATTTGAAAATGTTGACATTACCTCATTTATTGGCCTCAAAAGATTTCCATTTTTTTGGAACCCCATTCAGCCGTGTCTCCTGGCGATTCCGTCTTCGTTTAACTTTGACAACAGCATATATTATCCCCATTGTCAATGAAATGATGAGTACTGACACACCGGCTGCTATGCTGGCTGTCACAACCTTCTCCTCCTCTCGTACTGCAACAGATGATCATATTGGAAAATTTTATCTATTTATTAAATGTACATTTATATAATGCTTGTGCTATCTCACATTATGCTTTTTCTCTTGTTCTCCCAATCCTGGAGTGGAGATGACCTGGAACAAAGTTTTTAGCTTCTTGTAACACCTTGCCTGAAGCTCCATCTATTGTTGAATGCAGTTACTGTCAGCTCAAGCAAAGCATATGTCTTGCTCCAGTCGACCATGTGACTCCCACCTTAATGGTATCCTATCTTACGTTATGCACTTATCATCCGATTGGGGCTGCAGTTTACCCTGGTCTGCAGGAAGAGGACAACCATGAGTAGGAGTCTCAAAAGCTGAACAGACATTCAGATCACAGGCTCAACTTGTGATGGGTTGTTTCATAAAAACAAACTCCAACCGAGTGGGAAGTCCCAAGTTACATGATTTCCATATCATTTGTCAAAGGACAAACTGGTCCTCAGTCCCAGCTGGCGAGTTCTCTGCAGACACCTGAACGATATGAGATGGGACAGTTCAGGTCAGCTCTCCATTTAACGTTCTGCTCCTATCCCATCCAGCGACCTTCACCTAAACTCAGTCACCAACAGTCAAGGACCACAGGAGAGGAACACTTTGAATCCTGCTATTTTTCAGGAGGATTCACAATTCATACTTCACTAACATAATTGTTCATTAGAGTAGAGGCTGGCAAGTATGTGTGGATCTCTTCCATGCTGTTATACCAGGCTTGCCTGGAGGGTCGATAGGTGTGTAGGTGTTCGATGAGCCAACGAGACTCTCTCAGCATATCCTTTGGCTATCACAGATCTGTGAAAATGCACCAAACGTGAAAACGTAACGTCTGAGCAATGAAGAGGTCTGGAATGTGGATGGATCAGGGTGTCATCGCTTAGCAGGTGGGCCAGCAGTTTCCGATCTGTGATGTTTCTGAGGTTTTTCATTAACCAACTTCTCAATGGCAAAAAAGTTCACAACCAAAAGCAAAAGTATCTTCTTGGTTGCCTGAAGTTCATGCAGAACCCAAGGAAGGAGGCCTGTTGGTGGGAATGTGTAAGCTTTCTGTCCTTCCCTTGAGATTGCCAGAGTGTCATGATCCCGGGCAAACAGGTCTGGAATCGGAGACAAGAATCTGGGCCTTTTCCAGGTTGTTTCCACTCCAGGGTCATAAGAACAAGAAAAAGTTGATAACATGACTTAGGAAAGTTTGAAACTATATACATGTATTTTGTAAACATTTCCTTGACAAGAACAACAAATGTTGCTCATATTCATAAGTTTGCTGTCAGAATTAGAACTCAGAATGTCATATAGAGGTGAGGTTCGATACTGTATAGCCATCAATGAAAGAGGAGTGTCAAAATAAAGACTAGTTTAAAAAGATAGGTGCTGAAATTTCCTGATACAATGTATATCAACACACCAGTCTCAGTCCATTCCCAGAAACACACAGGTATTGTCCTGTGCCATGCTCCAGGTGTAGATATACAAAGTGTGCCTACAGTATGGCCATTGACCATGTTGAACTAAGGATAAGTTAAGGAAGCAAATGCAAAATAAGATCTTTTGGACAGTTTTTAAAATAACCATTGTCAATCATATGCCAGGTTACTGCATAACATAACTGTTGTGGGAAATCATTTCCCTGAAAAACTGTTTGAGGCACATATGTACTCAATCAAAAAGATTTTTTCATTCAAATTACATGTATGGCATATTTCATTTAGCATTTTTGTTCAATTTCTCATAATATCTGGGTTGGCAGTTCTCCTAATTAAGAAAAAGGATATGGTCTTAACATAGTTTGTTATTGTAATATGATACTCAAAAAACTGTATTGAAAACCTTCATAAATAGTTTCTGTTCCATGATTAAACTTACAATATACTGGTGCACATAGCAACATAAGATGTAATATGCTTGTGGATTCGAATAGGTGACATGCAATGTCCACATAATGAATGGGATAGATATTACACACAGACAGAATGCATAAAAAACAAGGCATGTGATTTTTAATAAATGCTTAAATGAATGGAAAGAGTGTGTTTTCTCTGTTCTTACAATAATAGGAAGTAGATATACATGTAAATCACAGTAAACATCTCTGATTCACAACAATTTCAGTCAATAATATATATGTATCATAGGTGATTTTACATATGATCAAATTCTGCAGAATCAACCACATGTTTTTATCGTTTACAAGTTATTGTCCTGAGTTTATGTATCCTGATTCGTGTTGTATCAGTTGGTTTATCTGTTCTGGTTTGGTGAGATATATGCAACAGTGCTGAGAAGTGTACCGGTAACAATCTTGTGTCCTGCTATACCAGGGGTAGCTCAGGTCTATGTCTTCCAACTAGGAACTAAATCAAGTTAAAGGTTCACATGTACAACAGATATATAGCCAGAAAAGGTATTTACATTTTTCGAAGATATCAGGTGATAGCTCTTCACATCTCTGACCTGTGAACATCTCTGGACACCTGAAAGAAACAAATACACAATATGTGAAACACATCATGTGCCCTGTGTGAACAGAATATCAGCAATATCCACCTTTCAGAAAGCATGTGTTGTTTTCTTTGTCATCAAAGTAACACCCATAATACACTGGTATATATATATATATAAAATCCAATTTACATGGTACAGGCACAAAGACACATATATATATATATGTGCAACACATTATAATCAGGGTGCAAATAAGAAGCTTAACTGTCATCCATCTCATCCTGCCTTGTACCCAGTGACAGCTAAATGAACATAGGCATGTTACATGTGCTTCATTGTGGCGTAAGGGGTGGTGGGGTGGCCTAGCTAGTGGTTAAAGCGTTCGCTCATCACATCGAAGACCAAGGTTCGATTCCCCACATGGGTACAATGTGTGAACCCCATTTCTGGTGTCCCCGGACGTAGTATTGCTGGAATATTGCTAAAGGTGGCGTTAAACCATACTCACTCATTATAATCCTCAAATCAACATTTGTTGACAACTCTTAATCAAAAGCATAATTATTGACTATTCTAATCTGAGACTGCAAGGGGCTACCTTTCCTCCATATTTTATAGTGAGTCTCAGTGATGCGGCTAACTATCAAGAATACAGTGGCCTTCAGTGACCTAACTCATCTGGAGCAGGATCCAGTTACCAATAGTGTCATCAATAGTGGGAGCATCACAGTCCGGCAACTTTCTGCTGATAGTTGGACACCCACATCACATAGCTGATAAGGGTCAGTTAACTTGACACGCATATAAACTGGCTAACGGTTGTTACCAGACCAAACTATGTTGCTTTACAACTTTCAAAATTTGTAACACAAAACAAGCAAGAACTACAGAATCCTGTTACTGTTAACTCACCATTTATTGTTGACTGAACTAACTCTCTGCCCTGCTAAAAATTATGTCACTTACTTGCAAGATAGTGTTCTGTTTCCACCTAAATGTACAGCAAAACATTCTCCATTTTGGAGGCATCCCTTTTTGTGCTTTTCACTATCAGTACATGGCTTCCGATGTGAAAAGGCTTCAGTCGTGGTGTCCGGGACAGGGGCTGGAGTTGTGGGCTTGCCTGGAACCCTTCCACAGGCATCTGCAACAACAATAGCAACATATTACACAATACTGACAAGTTGGTGAGTTGTTTTGTTCAACATGTGGAAGAATTGCAAGTATTAGAAGGGTTTATGATGCCATTCACTGTGATGCAACACTCCATCACTGCACAGTGCTCTCTCTATAATGCTCTCTATTCTGCAAATGCAAATTGTGTCAGCATCTTCCAGAATCATACTTAGTTAACCCAGGATTCCTCAGTTATTCGGTCATATGACAGCATATCATCTTGATATGGGAGAAACGCCTGAATTGAAGCAAGTGTTATGTGTTACCAATGATACCTAAGAGCATTGTGACGGTGGACACACCTGCCATACAATAAGAAAGAATGCCATCTGAATATACAGTACAAAGTTTATGGAAAAAAACTTCTTATATTTATCAAGTGTGAACTATCTCAGTACCCCTCCACTGCATCCTACATTCCTGCTTGACAACAGTACAAGAATCTGTATCAATACATCACACTCACAAAATACAAGCAGTTGCTATCCATAAAGTTAGTCAAACTTAAATATGCACATATATACGTAAATTCAAATAAGATGAAGATATGATATAACTGACCATTAACAGACAGCATACACACAAGAATGATCTCAATGAATCGAGCCCAAGACACCATGATGAACATACACTGGATAATGTCACAATATTCCAGTGTCATGAATGCTGTTTATATACACAAACATGTGAAGGAAGTCTAGGCTTCCTCCACTCAGCACACAATGGCTACCTTATACTGGCCACACCAACTGGACAGATTGACCAATGGCTAACCTGCATTGTGTGCAGGCGTATAGACATGGCAATGTCTTAATCCTACTCTGCAGTATCATTACTTCCTGACTCTTATAATACACTGCATGGCATTATAATTAGATGTGAACAGGGATATTGCGTAATTCCTGGGCAAGTGTAAGTTAGGACTAAGTGACCTTTTCAATACTTCAGTAAAGCTAAACAAATAAACATCAGGTGAAAAAGTATAAACATCAACAGAACTGGTCTTATTAGAAAAAACAACACTTATCTGTTAAAAAAAAACAATAAAAAAACCTAAGCTGGTGTGAACATTTGTTGTGAAAACAGTGTTTTGCAAAAAGTTTGTTTTTATTGTCAGATCAGACTCATTTCTTTCCCTATGGATTTTCCTTGTCAATTAGCCAAGATGCATGAGGCATCGGGGTTGAGTTCATATCCTAAAACTGCTCTTGGTAGTTCAAACAAATTAAACATGTTTCCAATGATCACTTTTTATCTAGACATACTGTTTTCACTTTTCCCAACATTGCACCGGCTCCTCTACAAAACAATTACAGAAATGGTCAGGCCTCATAGAGACTGATTCAGGAAACCTGTTAATGTCTGAAAGATCATTTAATTATTTTAAAGGCTAATTACTACATAGCCATGTCTCGTTTATCTCTGGCATCACTTAATTGCCATTATGTATAAGATACTAATCCCATTGCTAATCCTCATCCCTTCTGTATTATACAATGACCTGTGCACCTGATGCATTCTCACAAAGCAGACATTAGAGTTTTCACTGAAATTCATTTGACCTGCTTTGTTGTGTTTGTACTGTTGTCTTAAGGGATTAAAGCTCTGGTTACTGTAAAATTGAGAACTGTGTTCTGGAAAAGGATATTTGGAAAAGGATATTTTATATATCATCACAATAGATATGTGCTTAAATCATCATTTACATATTTTTCTGCTACTTCACCTTGCAACATAACCTAGTGCTTGTAATCACACTGGCTGCCTTTGGTCAGAGATCAGTAGACCCTGAGCGCACGTAGGAAAAAAAGAATCAGGAAAAAAAGAAACGGAAAAAAAGAATCAGCTTATAAAAAAGCTTACAGTCAGTATATTGTTATGGGATTAACTGGCTGCCAATCAAGTATAATTGGTTTAAAGAATCAGCTTATAAAAAAGCTTACAGTCAGTATATTGTTAAGGGATTAACTGGCTTCCAATCATGTATAATTGGTATATGGTTACATTAGTTTTGATAGTGGTACGAACAGATCTATATAAGAGTAAAGCATGTCAGTTTGAGGTAAGACATTATGGAGGTGATAGAGAGCAACAAGGGTGGCAAGAAGCTTTGCTGGAATGGGTACACCAGAAACTGTACAAGAAAGAACAAGGTCTGATGGAAGTGCTCAAAGAAGTCTAGTCTTAACTGCTGGGAACTGATTCTTTTTTTTCCTGTTTCTTTCTTTCCTAGCAAAATTTGATTCTTTTTTTTTCCAATTCTTTTTTTCCTGATGCTTTTTTCCCGATTACCCCTTGAGCACCTTCCCATGCATTTCAGCTACTTTGTTTTTACCACACCAGATGGTTTACCTTTTTGAAAAATAGACTTGCATCTCTGTCACTTGTCATTGATTACTTGTTCTTTTTTATATGGCTTAATCTATGTCAGGTAACTTCGGCTGATTAAACAGTGGCCCAGAGATGAAGAAAGAAAGGTCTCTCCTCTTCAATGAGTCAAGTTAAGGTAAGGCTAAGACCTCTGGACACCTGCACAATAAAAACTACCCCTATGTGTTGACCAAGCATACATCGCTTCTTGTATATATATATATTATAAGTTGTATGCCTTTCTCGAGGGTCTGATGTACCGTATGCCTCTTTGTAGCAGTGTCACCCGAGATGGTAGGGCGAAGGATGACACTGCCACGAAAAGGTGTACATCAGACCATATTACCTGAGGGAGAGGTGAGGTGAGGTAAAATTGGGTTTAACTTCGTGCTTGAGAATATTTCGCTCATATGACGACGTCGTGCATGCTTGTGTATGGGTATGTGCAGCTGCTTGTACTAGCCCAGACTTAAGCTGGTTTTATTGTGCTAGCCCACTGAGATACCATGCCGCAGTGAAGCATGAATACCCCACTCAGATACATTATACTGACTCCGAGCCGATGAGTCCTTGTTATACCTATTAATGCCGAGCGCCAGGCAGGGACCAACAAGTACCACATTTTAACGTCGTTTGGTATGACGCGGTCGGGGATCGAACTCGCGACCTTCCGGTCTCCGGGCGGACGCTCTAACCACTACACCAAGGAGGCGGCCAGAGGGAGAAGTTTACAACATATTTAACTTATTTTATTTCAATTTGAAATTTGCTACCGACTATATGACATGTGAAAACAAAATGGCGACTGCCTCTCAACTGGATTTTTAAAATCTGTGAAAAATATTCTGACAACCATAAAAATGGTTAATTACGTTTAAGTTGAGTGTGCAAACGATTCAATGTATATAATAGTTTAAATAAAGCAGTGAAAGTCGGTAAAATAAATGTGTACACAGTGAACTGAAAAACAGCTAATTGAACGTTGCACAGCATGCCTCACATTTGGATGTCATACGATTGTTAGCAATACAGCTTCTCGGAGGAGAGTTTGGCAGTTACCGTGGGTAATATTTTTCCAGTTGTCACCCTCCTGAGAGGGGTGACACGGAAACTTGTTAAAGCGTCATTGACCAATGAAATTAAAGTATTTTACATGAAGGTAAGATAACTACCTGTATATAGAAAACACTTGTTTGTGCTACAAGCCATTCATCTGTATTCAGGTAATCACATATTCATACACAAACCTTGGAGATTGCGTGACATGTATCTGTAACCAGTGCAGCCAACACGTTAATGTTCAATCATATTTGATAGTACTGAGGTCATTCCTCCGTTATTCTAGTCATAGGTATATGGAATCGTGCTACAATACTTACATGGTTTTGCTCCAGGTTTGGTGCAGTCTATGTCATGTGCTGGGTTTGCATTGTTCAGTGAAATAAACATGGGTAAAACTACACATGTTTCTATGAGAGCTGATAAATTCATTTTAACCTATTTTTTCAATACATTTCACCACTGTCACAGTGTTTTCAGAGTTGTAAAAAACCCAAACCAGTTTCAAATATCCAAATGACAATTATTTAGAAGAGTGTAACCTATACCGAAATGTCGCATCATAATATAATAAGAAGTTGTCATCCATAAAGTATCATACCTTTCTCAATGTTTTAACAGTTGAAAATAATCAAACTCAGTTCCATATATCCAAATGATGATCAAAGTGAGCTGCCCTCATGAATCCAAATAATAGCACAACTAATCAATCCTGGTATGAGATACAGAACAGTCTTTGCTTAGTCAATGTCATTACTGAGTAAATAAAATATGGAAGGTTTTGTCACCTTATGAATAGTGTACACAAATATGATCCTGCAAAGCATACTACTTCTGTCAAATATTATCAACAAACTATGGCACAATTCCACTGATGTGTCTGATTGACAGCACCAGAACAATTACAACATTTCCAAACCAAACACAGCTGAAATACTCAATACCCAGTGACTCAAACCGAATGCATTTGACACAGAGTGAAACTGACAAGTCCTAACATGGAAATGCAACAACAGATTGAAGAAAACATGCAATTCACATTTGAACACTACAACAAGCCTCACAGCAATATCAGACTGCATTCAGCTCAGGCTTTCCTTTGAGGCAATCGTATGCAACACGACATGTAATTAAAACAGCCTGCTTTCAAACACTTCACTCTGAAATGGAAATGGAACAAGAAACTGAATCACGAAGTATTCACAAAAAAACAGGTAATAAAGAAACATTGCAACATGTGTCGATTCCTGTCAGCTTCCTATATGATCAGTATTTTCCACTGCTCTAAAAGTCACATGAAACCTCAACCACAAGCACAATCAACACAATACCAACAACACTTTACGTTTCACATATCTGAAATTCTACCCCCATTCAGTACAATAACGTCCACCATTTATAATGTGCTTACCTGCATAATAACAACACTAAAGTAAATTAACCCCTTTTAAGCCAACAACCAAAGAAAACATGTTTGTGAATGTCAGGTATCAATAGTTGACAATGCATCAATAATAGTTTCATTGTAACTTCAATGAAATAAAAAAAACATTTCCTGAAAAACTTAGTTGACTAATTCTGAGAATAATCACCCAACAAAACCCTAATTGTTATGACCCAAATGGTTAATGCAAATCTGAATTAGTCAATCATGTAACAGCACTGCATACCAGTCACTCATGAGTGACTACACTGTACATGATGGATTATACTTCCCATGGGGTTCACACTCAAACACACAGCGCACCAAACAAGGTACATTTAAGTCATTAATGGGCCTCACCCCTGCATTGTGGTCTTACAAAAGAACATTACCATTTCCTGCTTTTTGTGTAATCAGAATAATTAACATCACTAATGTTTGAGACTTGGAGTAATGTGAGTATGGTGTTGATTTCACCAACTGATAGGAGTATCTGTAATGTCCTTATTCAACCTCTGTCATATAAACATGCAAGCAAAGTGTTAAATGATTTTTTATTTATTCAAACATATTAATACTTGTTTAATTTATGTTTTAGTGGTTTCATTTAGATTGATGATCTTCATCTATTACTGCTATGACAAGTTTCAATATGTTTTGATAATATTTAGTATCTATTATTCAACAAAGAATACTTTTGTAAACACTATCGGTAAAATGCTTATGGATAGCAAGGGGGAGGAGGAAGAAGCATGAAGACTTCACTGAGGTTTTCATAAACATTATAAGCATTAAAAATGAATGAAAACACATTTTATCATCCAAAACTGTGTTCCATAGGAGATATTGCTTGTGTGAGATCAGACGATATCTCCTGGGAGATATCATTTTGACAGTAGATTTTGTACAATGCCCTGACAATGCTATGACATCATGAACTTGATGACGTCACAATGTTATGACATCGCTGCACTGCAAGTCTAATATGGCAGAACCGTGTTCAGAGATGTACATTTTTCATTGAAAACTAATGAAGAGTGATTTTTTAAGATAAATAGAATCTCACCCTCATGTCTTCTGATATCAAATATATCAACACTCGTTGACAAAAGTAACAATATTTAGGGCATATGTAAAACAGGTAATGAAAAATAAAAGTGAAAATATCCTTTCCCCATTCTTAAGACATCAGCAGAGCTGCTTGTATGATTCTAAATATATCATGAGCATGTGTTTATGAATCAGTGTCAAATTCTTATGCTACAAAGTATTCACAAAAAGGTGAATACCTGTCACAAACACAGCATGATGCAAAGGCAAGTCAGTTATCTGCCTGGAGAAAAAGACATGGGATCATATGGCACAATTCAAAATATGGAACTGCATCAGACATCTAATTTAGAATAGTTTTCCACATTCATACCAAAAGTTTATGTTAATGTAAGGGGTTACAACCATCTGAGAATGTGTTATGGAATTAAGTGCTGTCCTGCTCAAGATCTGATTATATGCAGACAGCCCAAACACCTGGAATATTCAGCACTGTGGCTAGAAAAACACATCCACTAAGCTCTCTGATGCCATGATATTAGCATTATGCTGGATCATGTTTGGGGTATACCAGTAACGTATAAACTAACATTTCCAGCTATGCAGGTTCCGGGGAAACTGTTACAAAGGAACCGTATCACAGGCAAAGAAATACTCTGTTATGTAGCCAGCTCACAAGCTGATCATTTTGCATCGCTGGGTTGGTGTCTTTCAAAATCCACTGTGTGAGCAGCATTGTAGCCATGTCATGATGTGCATCAGCTTATTCAACCAATCAATCCTTGTTGGAAGATATAAAATGTCTTCATTTTGATAAACAAGAAAAAGTTAAGTGCTTATTCAGCTACTTTCCAGACAAAAAGGTTATAATTAATTCAGAGAACAAACAAGTGTAGTTACTTCCCATGACCTGAATTTTAGAATTGATTGTAACATACATAAATCATCATTTGTTCACACCTAATGCTTTTTCCACCACTATCTACTTTCTGACTGTATTGATTACCTCTCTCTAATGCCTCCATTATGGCCAGTAGTATCATCAATATTAATTCACAGAAACGTCTTGTTACAACTTAAAAGTACCCATCATAATATCATGTCTTTCCCAACAGACCATGCAGACACATCTGTGACAAAAAAGATGTCCATGATGTTCCTTCTTGTGACTTGTACCATATGTTACTGTGTTCCTTAGGTGGATAATTGACTTTCCTTTGCATGTTTTTGTGACAGGTGCCACCTGTGGGCATACATCATCTTGTCATGAACACATGGTATCATCCCTATTGATACTTACTCATTAACACATGCCCATGATCCAGTTAGAATTGTTGTACACGAGGTATTGTCTTATGATTATGGAAATGTGTTTTTTTACATTCTGCTTAGAATGGACATTTCATCTTCAACATCTATCAGATTCTTGCTATAGTGAACTTCTAGCATAACAAGCTAAAGCAACAACTGAAACCTAACTTCCACCTTCAAAGTCTCTGTCATCCTCTCTCTCTTCATCTTTACCATCATTACAACCACCACCTCCATCATTGTGCTAATTCCAATAATCTTCACGACTGGTAACATGACCAACATCGCCAGTAAAACCTCTATCATTACAATCATCATCATCATCACTACCAGCATCAATACCTGTACCATCACCAACTTCTATCATCACAACCATCACCAACTATACAACCACTATTATCATCACCATCACCATCACCAGCATCACTACCTGTACAACCCCTATCATCACCAGCATCACTACCTATACAACCTCTATCATCATCACCATCACCAGCATCACTACCTGTACAACCCCTATCATCACCAGCATCACTACCTGTACAACCCCCTATCATCACAGCCATCACCACTTTACACCTCTATCATCACCACCAGCATCTATCTGTACAACCTCTATCATCACAGCCATCACTACCTGTACAACCCCTATCATCACCAGCATCACTACCTATACAACCCACTATCTATCATCACCATCACCAGCATCACTACCTGTACAACCCCTATCATCACAACCATCACCATCTATACAACCTCATCATCACTACCTCCCCTATCATCACAGCCATCACCACTACCTCACCTCTACCAGCACCACCTATCATCACATCACCATCATACACTACCATGTACAACCCTATCATCACAACCATCACCATCATACAACCTCATACCATCATCAGCATCACCAGCATCATATCTCACAACCATCACTACCTGTACAACCCTATCATCACAACCATCACCATCTATACAACCCCTATCATCACAACCATCACCATCTTTACAACCCCTATCATCACCGGCATCACTACCTGTACAACCTCTATCATCACAACCATCACTACCTGTACAACCCCTATCATCACCAGCATCACTACCTGTACAACCCCTATCATCACCAGCATCACTACCTATACAACCCCCTATCATCACAGCCATCACCACTACCTCTACAACCTCTATCATCATCACCATCACCAGCATCACTACCTGTACAACCCCTATCATCACAACCATCACCATCTATACAACCTATGTCATCATCACCAGCATCACTACCTGTACAACCCCTATCATCACAACCATCACTACCAAAACAAACCCTATCATCACAACCATCACCACCACCTCTACCATCATCACCATCACCAGCATCACTACCTGTACAACCCCTATCATCACAACCATCACCATCTATACAACCCCTATCATCACAACCATCACTACCTATACAACCCCTATCATCACAACAATCACCAACACCTCTACAACCTCTATAATCATCACCATCACCAGCATCACTACCTGTACAACCCCTATCATCACAACCATCACCAGCATCACTACCTCTACAACCCTTATCATCACAATCTGTACAACCTCTATCACCATCACTACATTCTTCGCCACCATACCATCTCTATCTACGACACTATCTGCACCATGACACACCACTTTTACAACTAGCATTATAACCATCATTGTCATCATCATCATCATCAACCACAACATCATCGTGGTGTTTTTGCATTTCCATTCAACTTAGACAACACCAGTTATAAGTATTTCAAGAGCCTCAGTTGTCTGTGAAACAGACCAGTCTATCATGAAAGTCACCTGCAACAGTCAGGTGGCATATCAACTTTTTGTTGCACAAACTATATACTTTTCAGTTTTTAAAGCCTCTGCTTAATAATATATATGCAAGTGGGAATAGACAAGAATAGTAAAGGTGACAGATGAAAAACCCTCAAACATCTCTGTGTTGAACACCTGGATTATCATAAGTGTCAATATCATTTTATGATAGTTCAGTTATGCATTTTTTTTAGTCACTCCTTGCAATATACACCAAGAAACCAATGAACAGTCAATCCTAATTACATTTGTCAAGTATATGGTACAGCATCGTACAGGACTAAATAAAAGTCTTTCAGAAAGTGACAAATTCCTAATGACAAACACGACCTTGTGTGAAGATGAAGAAAGTATGAAATATGATGAGGAAACAACAGGAAAGGAGATGGCTCAAAGAAGCTTCCTCAAAAACACCACCCAGAGAAGAATACCCACAGAAAATATTCCCAACAGATGACTAAGGTTCAATTCATGAAGGAAAAGTGTTAAATAAATTGATGTAAAAGTAAGTATACAGTACCTGGGAAATATGGTACACTATTATTATAACACATTAGATACTCATCTATAACCTCATTAAACATTCATGGATCTAAAAAACAAACTATTTGATGACATACACCACATGTCGTTGATTTCAGCCTGCAATCCCACATCCAACTTTAATAGCTAT